ACCATATCTGAATATTTCAGGATACATATCGTTTTGAATGCATGGATAAAACGTCTTGTAACATATTTTATTGGAAGGTTTTTCTAATGGTCCTGGAGGCCTTAAAAACCTATGACAATCAGTATAGCATAAACGCTTATGGTTACTCAAAAAAATATATATATATAGAAGTGTGTTTATCAAAACTACTCTTCTATACATAAAAATGAAGAAAACCAATGATGACAATTCGTACGTAGATTGCGATTACAGAGTTTATATTGATATACAATCACTAATTATGCAAACAGTTTATTTTCCGATTTAATGTATAACTCGTCTGACATAATTTCCCATTTCAATAAAACCACATTCAAATTAACCAGTAGATGGTGCTGTGAAACATCGTTGGTTTCTTACCTCTTATTCACATGATACTCAGACAAAGGATTAGATGAATTAAATAAAGATTGAAATATGTTTGATCCTGCAATAAATTCACTAGAGTGCTAATATCATTTAATTGAAGATCAAGTAGCCAATTTTCTTTTTGACACCAAACATGATTCCTAAGTTATTACACTACTAAACTAGATAGTTGAACATGTTTACAATTATCATAATTAATTGTAAGATAATACTGATTCAAATAGTCTTTTTATCTTCACAATTTATGTAGTATTCAGAAGGCATAAATTCAACAAACTACAAAGCATTCCACCAATTTTGGCTAAATCTAAGAATGAATATGTAAATCATAAATAAACAACAATCACAAGCTAAAACAAAGTGAGGTTTTAATTTAGTTTTGTATTGTTTGTTTGAATCTTTTCATTAATGTTTAGGACTGAAATTGGTCAATCTCTTCCTGTGCGGATTACCTAGATATTGCCCTAAGTCACAAGCATTACAGGCAAAGATGAATGGTGGCTAGCAGTGGAATTAGGACTCAATAGCTTAGTGGATAATATGATATTTAAAGTGAACGGTATTGGGCTCGAATCTTGGAATGAACCTCAGCTCTATGTTGCAGGTGCATCCAGCTAACAAGTCCGAAATAGGACGAAATTCGCATCCTAAATTCTACTGTTAGCCACCATTTATCTTTGCTTTAAGTGAAATTTCATTGAGATAGTTAATTTGACACATTTATTGGGGGTGATTTTGTTTAAATTTCTTATCAACATTAATGAAAATTAATTTATTCGTCAAACTAGCAAACAAACACAAACAGACATTTAGATTTATATTAATACAATAAACTAATCGGTATATTCTTAAGTGATTAATAAATGAATAAAAGGATTATATCATCAAAATGTTGTTCTTTTTAATGTCAATTAATTTATCTGTTTACAAACAAAAAACTCCCCTATGGTACATCATTGATTTTTCATGAGTACACATCAGTTCTGTATTAGTTTTTTTGTTCTATCCTCTTGGTAATTCAATAAACATAAAAAAGAGGAAATATTACGTAACTCTAATCTGTAACAATTTTATACACTATAACGGAAATTTCATTATCATGTTAATAAAATCAACCAGTATACTTATATCATTGTTGATCATCTTATTGATTTAACATAGATTTCTCATAGAAAATCTAATTAAAGTTTATTAGAAGTGTTTGTCTAAGTTTAAGAGTATTATGAATGATACATGATAAGATTTTTATTGATCCACCTTTATAATCAGTGTATAGAATTTATAAAATGAAAGATTAGAAGAAAAAAAAATGATAGAGATATTACCTATTTGGAATTCATGTGTCTAGTAGTTGCAATAACTGATGTAACTATTAAACAGTATAATAATATTAAATAGAATGAAAGTAATCTAAAGTGACAAATACTATACAGGATAGAATACACAAACGAAATATAACTGATCTTGATAATCTGAATATTACAATAAGTGGAGTTCAATTTCAATTATTTTCATGATTTAGATCATGAATTAATCTTACTTAGACTATCATTAAAGAATTAGAAGTAGTGAACAGTCAATTTGTCATAGTATACATATCCACATCAATTTATTGGTCAAGAATTAAATTGGTTCTGATTTTAGTTCAAGTTGTTTAATCAAAAAGTAATAACTACCATGTGGTAATCAGTAAAATAGATTCTTTGAAAGACTAATAGCATATCGTTCTATATGAAATAAAAAATGGAGGATGAGATAGGTATAATTGATCAAATTAAACGAATATCATGCTGATATTATAAATTAACTAAACTCGGTTCCTCCTAGAGCTCAGACAACTATGTCACAGAATCTAGTCACTAACGAGTATATGATTATTATTAATATAAAGGGTTTGTAGAGAGTTCTGTGATATATAAAAGTCGTTAAATTTTTTTCCTTACGCAATTATGATTATAAGGTTTTAAGCAGTTCAACACTAGAACCTGACGTCTCTTTAACAACCGCTAGTTAATGAAATATTTATTTATGATTTTGGATTTACTAAAGCTAAAAAAATCCACGTTTGTTTACAACATAAAATACATCTAAAATAATTTTTTTTCTAAAAAATTTTCCGTAATGAAGTTATACAATCACTGGTGAATTCAAAATATTCAATTTCCCATATTGTTTTTAAGTGTTCAACAGATACTAATTTGGTAAATGTATATCAAATTATAAATTATCATACAAACATATGTAATTGAATATGATCCCTTGGAATTAATTTACATAAATTTCATTATACATGTAACCGAAAAGATTGATGAGAAATAGTGAAATACACATGTCATAAATTCCAAATAATTAAATTATAATATTTGTAGTAACTAATTGTTAGTAAATATTGGCTTCAACAGGCATTTTCTAGAGTTCTAGTGAGAAGCAGTGACCAGTGGAGTTCAATCGGGTCTGTTGTGAGTTGGTAACTCACTGAAGACAATAGTGGATATGTCGCTCAATTTCGTGGAATATTATTTTTACTATTAATGGCTTAATTCTATATTATATTTTGGTTGAATTTAGACATCAACACTGTTGGATGGCGGTCGGCTCAGTGGTCTAGGTTTTAAGCGTTCGCGCGAGAGACCGATAGGTCCTGGGTTTCAGTCTCGCGAGGCGGGATCGTGGATGCGCAGATTTGAGGAGTCCTATGATGTAACGAAACGGGTTACTTATCAGTTGTCACCAATACTTGGAAGTAACCGACTACTTATGAATAGGATTTCCTCAATACCAAATATATGAAGATAATATGTAATCATAAAGAAATACTTGATAGAAATATCTACGTAAGTGTATACATTCTAATATCACTATAAAGAAGTAGACTAATTAATTGCAAAGCCCTGTTCGTAACCAAGATACCTAATAAAAACTTTGTATAGTTCCGGTGTTTTGGGATTCAAATGGTACTTTGTTTAATCAATATTGTACGATGGTAATCGGTTCTTGTATTTAAAAATGACAAAGGCCTCTATAAATCGTACATCGGCATTATAAATTAGGTGAAAATTGAACTTGTATGAGGAAAAAGATCTATAAATTGATTCAGTAAACTGGGATTAGTAATTCTGATCGAATATTAATACTCCTAATGCGTATTGGTTTTAAGAATTTATAATACACCACAAATATATGAAATTATTTGCTGGATATGAATGATATTGCCTTACCGTACTGGTAACTATGAGGTAATTTCATTTAATAACATTAACATAAGTTTTAAATGGTGTCTTCAAATAAAACATTTACGAATTAACTGAAGTTAAGAATGTAAAATATTGGATGGGATCTCAGTGATCTATATGTTAAGAGCTTGCTGAAAGACCTGAATATACCCGGTTCAGTTTCTAATGAATTTTAGATACTTATGCCTGAGGAGCTTCAGAGTCATATTACGCAGCTATTCTGCTGTCAGTGTTTGCCGGTAATAAACCAACTGATATTTGAAGACATAAACAATCACTTTTAGAGTTTGAGAAATTTTTCTATATAAATTCACAGAGTTTAATTGACTTACACGTGCAGAAATTAAGACTTCTACAAAGTTAGAAATTATTTGTTATTGTTAACCATATCTTCTATCTTTAATCAAATTGCTGGCTGCTATTGATTATGAGCATAAATTTTAAAGTGATTCACTCATTAATCGTTTTCATGTCTAGACTTTCCCAAATAAATAATATTACAGTTCACATCAAAGAAAACTCTTAGTTAGACAACCATTGAAATTTAGGAAGAACTAGAAAGCTGTTTCTTGCTAGCGTAGAATTTATCAATAGTAAAATTTCATAAACCCTCGGGGAACAAAACACACGATCTCCATACTTGCTGTGAAAGTCTAACCTTTACATAACTGAGTCGTCATTCATTGATATTCTAAACGTTAACACCCTCTAAAATATCTGTATATCTTGAATTCAACCTGTTTGGGGTCGTATATTCCTACTGTTGATGAGTCTCATAGTAGGACGATGCAGCTGTCTAGTACTTCATGATATAAACTGGTTGTTTAGCTGAGAATGTTTCATGACATAAACTATGAAATTGCATAATATCCCACCTCAACTCTCGCATTAATAAATATACCTACTTAAACCTTCTTATTTTCATAATTTACCAGAATATGAAAACTAAGTGTCTCCCCATAACCCAAATAATTTCCTTGATAAACAATCACATATAATAAACAAAAAGTAATTTTACTGTTAAGACCCAATATCGTGAACAAAAGACATTTAATTACTGAATGTTAAACTACTTAAAGTTTAAGCTCATTATTATACAATGAGTTTTTAGTTATTTTTTATTGGTTAACTGTTTACAGCATCCCTTTTATTTGAAAACAAAAAAAAATGCTCACATATGATTGCAATATTGTTATCTAATTAACTCCCTTACCCCTCATCTCCATCTATGAATAGAGTAAGGAAATCTAATTTGATTGGATATAAGTATGAGTAATTGTTATGACTTATTCAAAAATTACTATAAATATGATAGTCAATTGTATTTGATTATGTAATACAAAATTTAATTTGTATTGAATGAAAATAATAATGAACACTATGGATGTTAATCATATAGAGAATAATGGGAATAGAAAAATTCACTTAATAAATATAGAATCGAATGATATTAAAACTTGTTCAAGAAGAGGTCGAAAATCAACAATTCCACCAGAACTTAGAGAACAAACAAGACGTGTAAGTTGATAGTTTTTTTTTTAATTATTAGAAGCTTTATTCAACATTATATTTTTGGTACAACATAGAATTCTCAGCATAAAGTATTTCAACAAGTTTCCTTTTCTTATACCTTGATCTATTGTGACGATAAATTTTGAATGATGACTGGTTAGATGTTAGGAGTTCGGTAATCCACATTTGATCAATGTTCATTCGTTTCAATGCATACTGCCAGCCACCATGATGTCGCTGATTGTACCTTTTTGTATCACGTATAGCAAAAGGTTGTAAACTTTTCATAAACGCGCCTGAATAAATTGTGCGCACAATAGACATAATGATATGCTAAAACAAACAACAAAACAGATAACTTGATGAAATATCTAGATCGGAGGAACAGGTAGCCCAGATATTCAAGCAGGCCGCCTGAGGATTAAAACAATTCATTTTTGAATAATTTAAGTTTAAGAATAATGGTATTTCAGATATGTAATTTCTTTAATGTTTAAAAATGGAAAGTAGGATTTTATCTTTGATAAATTTTAAAGATTCAGTTGTTGTGAATATAATTTTTATGGTATCAAATAGCCGGATATTATAAATATTGTGTGCTATGAGATTGAGCATTCAACTACAGTATAATGTCACTATTTAGGTTGCATTTTTTTAATAAGTCATTATTTGCATGAAGGTAGTTCAAATTATGAATTAGCTTTCATGGTAAACTTTTGAAGTACTTGTCAGGCATTTTGTCCTAGTTTGATACTTTTCATGATTATACCATCATGATCATTCCCAAAACAAAAACATGAATGTTTAGACCTTGTGGAGAGTAAGCAGCATTTAGACGAATGTGTTGGTATTACAATGGTTCAAATATTGAATTATGTAGTTCAAAACGTTTTTATAAACCCCCGATATTTATTTCGTTAAAATCGTTCAATCATACTATTACCAGAACGCAGTTCATTAAGAGAAAGCTCTGTGCTATCTATATAGCTTATAATTAGCTTGTATATTCTGACATCCTGAATATTAGTAATCTATACAATTAAGTTATGTATATTATCCAGATGTTAAGATATGATAAGCATCCGACAAAAATCAACGGCCTAACCATGTAATTGATTTTATGTGTTAACCATTACTCTCAACTACAACACTAAGAAATACACTTTTCGATTTATAAAATTCTATCTAAATATTATGAAATCATCTCATCCATTTAATTACTACAATAAAAAGTTTTAAGCAGAGATTCCAGGTTGTAATGGTCCAAAAGTACTGTTTATCTAAACTGCATTTGTAAACAGATGTCGGATATTATTATTAATGACTATTTGATAAATAAGGGGTGTAATTTTTGGTTGAATAAATTAATTATTCCATCTTCATATTTTAATGTAAATCTTATTAGATTAAAACAGTAATGATCAGTTTAAGAACTAATTAAATTTAGCTGTGGTCATTCGTTGATTAGTACCTTATGTAAAAACTGTGACGATTTCATTAGTTGACTACAATAATTGCATGAGATTAACACAATATTGATCCTTATTTACTTAATATTTACAATGTCGACCGATTATGTGAAATCAAAGTAGATAAAAGTCGAATACGTTTAGGAAATTGATAATTCATGCTACGAATAATAAACGCCAAATAAAAAGTATGAGATGCAATGAATATAGTGAGCGATGGAGTTTGGCGATAAACTCACTCAAAGAATGATAAATCGTCTCATTTTGTACAACTCATGTATAAAGGAATGCTATAGATTACAAACCAACTATTAGCGAAGTCAACTTTGGAGAATAAACAATAAAATAAGTTGGTGTGACGTCCTAGCCACTACAACCTAGTTTGTTCGGTGTGATATAAAAGAATGTTTAAATACTGTATTAACATTCTCACGAAATTCCAAAAGATTAATTATTTGCTATTGCTTGTCAACAAACCGAGGCAGAAGGATTATGACAAATTAATTGGGAATCATATCAATTAGATTTTTACGCTTGTTAGATTGCAATATGAGGTAAATTATTGGTTTGATCATGAAAATCAAACAACTCAGAAAATTGTAAATAATTTTTTAATTTTCACCAAAAGTCATGATTTTCTACAATAAATCAAGATGATATGGTGGTCATATTGTAAAGAATCGCAGTACGCAACCAAATTTCTTTATTTTATCAAATATAGGTATACCTTTTACAAAGAATTGATTTACAATCTTATATTCTGAAATAATCAGTAATGCTTTGATTACTATGTACAATTTCCTGAATCAAATTCTACATCAAATGATAATTTTTTTATTGGAATCATGAACCGACTGATGTTAGACCACCAGTAAAGACCTAGAATCACTGAACGGCTGTTTCGTCCCATTGTGGGACACTTCAGCAGTGCGCATCCACGATCCCGCTCCTGGCATTTAAACCCAGGGCACGAGAACGCTTAACGTCAAGACCGCTGAGCCGGCATCCAACGGTGTTCATGTCTAACCATTAATAATTGTAGTATTATTTTATGCTTTTATTTTTCTAACTACAGATTAAAAAGCAAAACATTGAAAGAAGTCGTCGTGCATGTATAGCAAATAAAATGTCTGAATTACATAAATTAGCCATGAATTTAATTGAATTAAATGTAAGTTATCAATTGTTTAATGCTATCTAACGAGCTTTATGTATTATCTATATATTATATCCCAATGAGTAGAAAATTTTTATTTTTGACGTTTCGTGACTTAATGTAAGCCACTTCTCCAGAGTAAATAAACGACCGAATGTCAGTTATTTAATTACTTACATTAAACCACAAAACGTCAAAAATACAAGTTTTCGACTTATTGGGAAATAACGATGATATATTTATTATTAACTCTCTACCCAATTCATTTATTAGAAATTATCAAGTCCAGCCTTGGTATTGATACCTCTAAATTTTATATATCTATTGCATAGACAATCAATCATTGAATTTATGCTTTTCGTTGATATAACCAATTGTATATAAATGTTTACATTGATAGAATGGATTAGATTTATTTATCATGATTGCTTTCAAGGTATGAATAAGTTGTGGCAATCGGTGTTCGATATAATTCCTAAACATCGTTTACTGCTTATCTTGATAACCGTTACTAAATAACGCCCAACGGTGTATAAATCAGAAGACGAATACGAAGCGTTTATTATTCCTCCACGCACAGACAACCAAATCCACAGGCACACGAAGCAAGAATGATATACGAGTGCCGAAACACAAGCGTGTCAATGAACAGAATTAGTATATATATATTGATTACTATGTACAATTTCCTGAATTAAATTCTACATCAAATGATAAATTTTTATTGGAATCATGAACCGACTGATGTTAGACCACCATTAAAAAGACCTAGAATCATTGAACGGCCGTTAGGTTATGAATTATCACCAGACCTATAGGAGACCTATTTTTAAGTTAGTTACTAATATGCAATCAAAATTACTATTTATTTATGTTTTTGTGCAGGTTTTAACACACTTTGAAGAATATTCTACTTATTTGGTTGTTGATGATGATTAATCAGAATTCAGAAACAAGGATGAAGCGGCTATCTATTGCTCCTAGTATAATATTTTTTAATAATTTGATATCCATTTGGTATTATTTCAGTTTCACGCCATGTAATATATTTACAGAATCATTTCAATAACTTTATATCAGTTCACGTACATTTGAGTTCACATTTAATTTAGTTAAGCCCTTTCATTAACTTAACAGAGTCATTCGTACAACAACAACTTTTCTATACCAATCTACCTTTATTATTTGGTTGTGCTTTTCTGAATATGCATGCTTGAGTATTGCTTATCGCCTACGCGCATATTCATTCTGCTAGCTTTTATGTTAGTCGCCTAAATGATTCGATGACACATTCATTTCCATATATATATAGGGCGAAAGCGATAAGCAATACTCAAGTATGCATATTCAGAAAAGCACAACCAAATAATAAAGGTAGATTGGTATAGAAAAGTTGTTGTTGTACGAATGACTCTGTTAAGTTAATGAAAGGGCTTAACTAAATTAAATGTGAACTCAAATGTACGTGAACTGATATAAAGTTATTGAAATGATTCTGTAAATATATTACATGGCGTGAAACTGAAATAATACCAAATGGATATCAAATTATTAAAAAATATTATACTAGGAGCAATAGATAGCCGCTTCATCCTTGTTTCTGAATTCTGATTAATCATCATCAACAACCAAATAAGTAGAATATTCTTCAAAGTGTGTTAAAACCTGCACAAAAACATAAATAAATAGTAATTTTGATTGCATATTAGTAACTAACTTAAAAATAGGTCTCCTATAGGTCTGGTGATATTTCATAAACTAATGAATAAACCTAATTGAAATGTAGGTAATAATACATCAATAAAAATGAATAAGTTCAGCGCTATATATCATTAATAAGTTATTCATCAGAATTATTTCATTTACTTCCCTTTTTTCAAAGAACTATTCAAGAACATTAGTCTAGAAGTAAATTTTAGTATATAACGCCAAAAAAACCAAGAAAAATATACATTAACGGTATTGTTTTTCTTGAGATAAATATATCTGTGGCGTTTATGTTTTATTTTGTGAATTGATCTTTTACCGTTAATGAGAGAAATTAAAACATGAGTATCTGTAGACATCGGAGTATCTGTACTAGTTTGTATTATTAGGAGTAATATTTTAATGAACTAGAACACAAATAGAGGATAAACAATGTATTAATAAAAAAAATTACAGAATATCGTGGTAAAATATAGGAACCACACAGAAAATAATTCATTTGCCATTATTCCAACAATCATCCCAAACTTCATCATTCATTCATTGCCACAACAATTACCCTCTGTTCCCGTTCACTTCGATTCGTATTTCCCAAATTTCTTCTACCAGGAATTCCATTTTGACTGGTGCTATATACTACTTATGTCGACACAGTATTATTATCATCATTATATCATTTGGCATTTCACTTCAACATAAAACATACAACAATAAATGAAGTTCTAGCTAAGTAATCAAAGAAATGATAAACAAAACACGAATTATTCAATTGAAATAATTCTGATTTTCTCAAGTTTTTCTATCCAACACATTTGGAAGATCATAGAAATGATTTGAATAACAATTGTGATCATTATGAAAGTTTTTAAAACTTGAATTTGATTTTTCTTTATATTTGTTAACTGAAATTTATTACTATTTCTTTTGATGAATATATATCTCCTACTGAATGTCATCATCACCATGCATTCACACTCATGTTAACACTGCTCAATATTTTTTTTAAAAATTTCTTTCCGCAAAGATATCAGAACAACAAAAAACGGAGAAAGTGGATATATTAGGCATGTGTTATGAAGTGTTTAAAAATGTGGCAGTATTATTAAATGAAAACCCAGGTTAGTTTATTGCTAATATTATTCTGTTATATGGTTTAATGGTTAAAATACTCAAATTTCTATAATTAAGTTATAGATTGAAATTGGATTTTATCTACATTAAATTATTCCATCTGGTTAATATCGTTATTGCTTGTATAAACAGTGTATTTCAAATTTGATGTACATAAACCTGTATTTGGCAGATAAGTTACACTAAATTGAGTTATGATAAGGATGCATATATACATCATTTACAGAGAATGAGTTATACCCTATAAACTCGAACTTTTGCTGATCTGGATAGGTTTATGGAAATAGATCATCCATATTTATTGAATATTTTAATCGATATCTAAGAGTGAACTAGGCTGTTTTCATCAGTAAATTTAATTTTGATTTAACTGAATTACATACTTACCTACGCCAGTTAAGCCTCGTGGAGGAGTGTATAGGCCGCCCGCCAGCATTTTCCATTCAACTTTATCCTGTGCAATCCTTTCCAGTTGTTTCCAGCTTCTATTCATCCTTTTGATAATTTCGATATAAGCTATATATGTATAATGTTGTAGTTTAAAAAAATATATTACTAACTATTGCCACCAAAGTAGTTTGTGACAAAATAGTTATTTGTATAGAAATAGCCTGAATAACTTTCCAATAATCACTGAAATATCTGTTTTGTTTTCTTTTGTATTTTATTTAAATTTAATTGTTCTATAGAATTGAAAGAGAAATTAAAACAAATGTGCCATGAAGTTAGATTAAAATTCTTTAATAAACAGCATGATATATCTAATAATCATTATGATATAACCGTGAATAAATCAAATGAATCTATTACTCATTCAACTATTCATCAATCACCATCATCATGGAATAAAGAAAATTATAATCCTACAAATCAAAGTTTATTAATTCCTTCTGAATTGAGCGCTTTTACACCTATAAGTAAGATAAAAGATACTAATTTTAATCAATTAAATTATCAATCTACACCAATCCAATTACCGTTTATTATAAATGATAGTGGTTATTTTGAAATGAATCATTCATCACCTTCATTCATTCATACAAATCCTATTCATTTAAGAACGGTACATATGTCTAATGAATGTATTTATACACCTCAATCATCATCTTTACAAATGAATTCTATTATATCAAAATTACAATCAAAAGAAAACATATTGGTGAATGAAATGCATACAAATCATCATGAAACGACTAAAGAGAATATTATGTGGCGGCCATATTTGGACTAGAAGTAAAAGATGAAATATTATTTTTTTTATACTACTCATTTGTATTGATATATTGATCTAGGACTTCCTTACATGGAGACTACCTTAAAGATCTTCTTTTTATTACTTATCCACAATTTACTTTATTATTCATTAGTTACTTCTTTCTTTTTTTTTAATGAAAGCACAAGAGAACTACACTAATTAAAACCCAATTTTATATTTTATATTTATACATGTACATTGGTTTACACTTTAGATAAATCAATTTCTTTTTAGTTCAATTTTTAGAGTTGCCCATGTTGAGATTATATTTTTGATATTCTATTTTATCTATAGGCAAAATAAAATTTGTTATTTGTAAAATTTTGTTTATTATATACCCCATTAAAACCGGAAAGAAAATGCTGAGTAAAGGAGATGTAGCTTAAAGTTTACAAGAGTTCATATTCGTTAATAATGAAAAATGGTATGTCATAATGATTGAAATCAAAATGAAATTTGTGATGACTCAATCGTGAAGTGCAATGAAATTATGCGACTTGTAGTTAACGCGTCAAACAAATGTGATCGTTTCATGAAGATTTGAGTATCAACGTTCAGCAAAAGTCATTGCTAGTTTACTGTACGGCGTTTTACACTTGCAACTCAAGTCTGAACTTAGATCGACCACATAGTGATCAGCTAATACTGGTGTCATTATGTATAAGACTGTCACACCTTTGGAGTTATTATCTACGCTCTGATTATGTCATGATTTCGCCAAACATACTTTTGATTTCGGTGACTGTAGAAAGTCTCGTTTTGAATGAACTAATATGAGAGAATTGCTGGTAGCTTCAATTACAATCAAATATTAAAACGATGTACTAGCTGGTGGACATTAGATGTGTCTGCATGGCATCTAATTGCAAAGTACTTTAACAAAACTGTTGGGAGGCTATCTCTGCATTCACTCTTGGTAGCGAACAGTTAGAAGTATTAGAAAAGATTGTATATCTGGGTAACTGTGTGATCGTAGAAGGAGTTAGACCATACTGCATATAACGAAAGTTAGAGTACCCTATCTTGGTCTCAACCATCTCTAATACTGTAGTGATGACAGTCTAATTGTAAAGGATCGAGTCAACAATGCTTCAATGAGATTTGTTTAGCTCTGATATTTGTCAACCCTGGTAAAGATGTTAGACAATTTTCTAATTCCTAATATCAATATCTTCAAACGGTATCTGACATCCGGTGGCAACAATATTTTAGCGATTCTGAGGTTTGAAAATGTGTACACGTCCACAGCCGTGATAATACAGTTAGCGTTACTATCCTAAACTACCGAATTCATTGGCTTGGCCATGTGTTACGAACGCCAAATTAAAGTCTTCTATATCATGCATTAATTACTAACTTTTGAACTAAATGTGAAAATTCAAAGGCGATCAGTTTACGACAAGCTGATTAGATACGCAAGAAAAATGTATAAAACTGGGATATGTCTGTTATCACTACTCCTTGATTGTGGACTAGAGAAAAGTGACACATTGACTTGAGATGTTATCAAGCAAAAATCAGAATAAAAGCTTCCTTTTTACACTGTTCATAAAAGCGAGAGGAACTCCTCTGACTAAGAGAATTATTCCTGACTGATTTTTTTATTTGACGAACCATTCTTATACACTCATTTCTATTTATTTATTTATGCTGTGTTTTATCTCCTCATTATTTCATTTTTTTATTTGTGTGGCATATTTATTTAAAGTACGTATTTGCTTGATTTACATAATATACTGGGGAGTACACAAATAAAACACATTATCTTACTATGTTTGCGTATATTTCTAGCTTAACAAGTAGCATTTAGTTGAGAGTTTAGGAAACGAAATATTTAATTATATATATCATAAGATGATCGCACGAACCGCAATAATAAATACTTCTAAAGTATTTTTCATTTTTCAAAATTTAGAATGTTCCAGGATATTCCTCGAAAAAAGCTCAGAACGGCCCTAAAAACCCTAGGAAACATTTTATCCAATCGGCATTCAATAGAAAATAAAGAGCCACGTGCCGCACTTCCTACCGGATGATTATCTATCCTGTTACCATGTTTAGTAGAATTGCAGAACATTCCAGAAACCCAATACTATCCGAAATTCTATAAATACCCTAAAATTTCTGATCATAAAGGAACCGTAGAGTAAAGCTTTCTTTCCCATTTCGCGCTATTTTTCTCTGGTGTTCAGCTTGTCGTGTAGAGTTTGACTGGTTTCATTTGAAGAGCTTAAGAAACTAACTCAAGCGTTCAGTCATAAGATTTATCAATATTGGAAGACAAAAACTAACATTAAAGGCAAAACATAAAAAGTATAGATTTAGTTTTTTCTATATAATTTGCCAGGAGATTATAAAACACAAATAATGAATTTCGGAGCAGAGATAAATGATGACTAGCAGTGGATTCCAGGACACGAGTTTCGACAAACGAACATACCTGGGTCCAAAGGTTGACCCATACTCCGGGACTCAAAGCAAGTAACGTTCGCATCAAACATCATCGCTTTTTTTAATTAGCTACTGTGCCAATATAGCCACTGGCTTGTGCGATGGGCTGAAGTTATATTCATATTGTATCGATTGCTTAAATCATCCAATTAACGTTTATGACTTCCAAAAATAAACGGATAGATTGTAGTCCTAAATTCAAAAAAACATCAGAATTCGAGATTTAGTTTTTTTGACTGAAGATAAAAATATCAACCTATTTATTCAATGGCTTAACATTATAATACCTGATGGAATACTAGTAATCATATTTATGATACCACGTACAGCGTTATTTCCACAGTCGTTATATGTCCCCGGTGGTTTCCTATCTAAGGCTACATGTTTTCTCATGAATCCTGACCTCATGTCGAATTGTGATAGTAATTATTTTTAAACAAACAACTTTCTTCACAAAATTATTGAAATAAATTATTTCTAGAAAATCAGTATTCAAAATAGTTTTAGTAAATCATTTGAACTACTAATAAGTAGTTAACTAGATTGGGCCAGGTTTTCTCGACAAAAGGCCTGAAGATTTGAGTTCAATGGGTTTTGTTTACAAAGCACATATTTTTACTTGGAAAAAGGGGCTAAAACTCTGCTAGCTGACACCTGAAAATGGATCAGACAATGATATTAAGAGACAGGAAACTCGTAAAGTTTATCCTCGTATCAAATAAATATTCAGTTGTGAATTAGAGTGTTTGTTAATCTCTGTTTAATCCCTAATTTTGATAAGAACCATGTAAAATTGTTTATTGACCAACTTATTTGTGAACTGGATTTGATTGTTATATGTCAGTAGTTACGATCTGAAGTGGAAAACCCCACTCATAAAACGACGGTTACCATTTAGTCACACATCGTACATTCATCCATCCAATCACATACCTGGATACCAAAATAACCTGTCATAAGCCCAGTTATCTATTTTCTCTTAGATAATGAAAGCTAAGATCAAACTGTTAATTTGTTTGTCCACAAGCCATTTACTGATTGTCAAGGATCATTGAGTCATACTATGTAAATCACACAGAGAAACAGGGGGTTTATAGTATAAAACCATTGGAGAACTGTGAAAAACTAAGGGGCATTGGAAAGTTTATTAAAACTAGGCTCTCACATAACCTCGTAAAATTGAAACAGAATCTTGCAGATCACTTAAAAATGTGATAAAAACCAGTCAAAACACTAAATTCAGTGAAGGGATCCTTTCTCAGCAAATTTGCTATTAATCTGTTCAGTCTCAAGAAAAGATGAACAGTGAGCGATCATGGTGACGTAATGAAGTTCACATTTTGCGTATTGAAACCTCACTAGTAGTCCAATTAAGTAAGTCAATTGGTGGAGAAACTAGCTTATAGTAGACATTCTGGGTACACAGTTGACAACTATTTCAGTTTTCTTTTGGTTTTAATCCCTACAATTCAACCAAGGAATAATTTTGTTAATAAAGTCTGTTTTGCAGGTTATTTAATTTGAGAAGTTTTAGTTAACTTTCTTTTTCTGATGAGAAATAATTATAGGTTATTATCCCAAAAACCATATGAGTAGTGGGGTTCATCACATACTTACTTACTTACTTACGCATGTTGCTCCTCGTGAAGGAGCATAGGCCGCTCACCAGTATTCTCCATCCAACTCTGTCCTGGGCAATCCTTTCCAGTCCTTTCCAGTTCCTATTCATCCTTTTCATATCTGCTTCTATTTCCCGACGTAATGTGTTTCGCTGATTCCCAGTACTGCCAAATTGTATCTCCTAATTTCCGTTGCTATTTGACTAGTCTTCCCGGTCTCCCACATTGTCCAGACGTTCCATGTACCTATAAAAATTGTTGCTCTGCTTGTTAGAAGGGGCATCGGCCTCATGACTTCCGAAGGAACTCGGCTTTCATCATGAGGCGTCATAATTCTTCTAAATGAGGATCTTCCAACTTCCATGGCAGAGTTTAAATGGTTTGAATTACTTTTTCTGATCAGTGTTTTCTAGCGGGTTAGTTTCCTACGGGATGCTCATGCCCAACCCTCCTCCTTTACCCGAGCTTGGGACCGGCAGTAACTCTAGAAGAGCTACAGATGGAGTTGTTCATCACATCGTTTTACTAAAAATATTAACTTTTATGAGTAACTGCTTCACACCCGACACGGTTGAACTGCACCGGTCACGGTTTCTCACTGGTACTCAGAGAATTACCTCTCGAAACTAGTCACTAGTGAACACATGATATTATTTTAAATCAATAAAAACTCAACAATCTCCACAACCCTAAACCGATAATTATCATGTGGTGATTAGTGACCAGCTTCGAATTGTAATTCTCGGAGATCTAGTGAGAAGCCGTGACCAATGGGAATACTAACTTATCGACTTATTCATTAATATAATCTGATTATAAAGTATTAGCAGTTTCTAAATATTTAAAATGGTAGACAAATTTTATTCACAGAATCAGAATGATTGATACATTTTTCCATTTGATTCA